ATAGCTATTATCCCCGGTGGTATTGTTTACGCGAGATCCGTGTAATCGCCGATTTCGCCCGTGCCACGTTTTTACTCTTTCCTTGAATGTGGCAGAAAGTGAAGTCGAGTGAATCCTGCGGTCGATGCTGCAAATCATACTGAATTCTTTATATATATATATATGTATACACACACGCGCGTATACCCGTACTCTATATCCTATGACCGTATAACCTCAAACGCCATTATGACTCTCGACCTCCAGTTAATACCTAACGCATCGAGAGGGAAGCTGGCAATACCAAAATTCCTGTTGGCAACCTCATCCGAAGGCGACGTCGTCGTACCCGAAGAAAAAGATTTTCCAGTAGTAGCTGGCATGCTTGACCCAGGCCATTTGACCCTGATGACCTCAAGCGCGCTAGGCAATTTCCTGAATGCACCCTCCCCTCGATGCGGCACACGTAATTACAAGCTACTCCTCATCGAGCGTTTGCGATGAAAGTCCTGGGTCCTCCAAACGATTGGTAGAAACGGAAAATTACGATTCAGCATCCCATTGGGTTCAGGAGCCTCGCTCTCTAAAAAACCTGTTGGTTCGTGACGTATGTGTGTAATTTTCAAAAATTCATCAACTACACGTATTACGTATTGTGACTCGTTAACAACCTCGGCGATTATGATTACTCCAGCGGTAGATCTACCCAGGTCGGCAGGAATCTCTGTGGGTGCACAAAGGACGGCGATGCGTCCGCGGCGTGGAAGGCGGAAAGAGACGAAGACACAGTGTGGACGATCTTGGACCCAAAGTAGGGGAAACTTAATGTCCCGGTAACGGGGATGGGTATGGTTATGGGGCCTCGGCCCACGCAATCAGAGGGTCAGCAGGATGATCTATAGAGACGGGAATGCCGTTATGCGCTAAAGTGCAAAGTTTGTTAGTCATAGAGTCGAGTGGCGGCGTCGGCGGGATCGTTCGACGGGACCGCGCCGGCTACTAGAGTTACCGGTGCGTATCTGCCTCCCGGGGCAAAACGAGAAGGTGGACCCCTGTCCTTCACTGGCGGGTTATCGGCGATGCCGTTATGCCCTAAAGTGCAATTCTCTCGGTGAAGGACCTGTCTGTGTATTATGCTGGCTGGTTCCTGGTTGCGGGTTACAGGACGTTGCGTCACTTCCTCACAGCGTGATAGGGCCGAGACCCGAGAGACCGTATTGACCTTGCGACCTCATCGGTTACAATAGGAGAGGTACTTGTAGAGAGAGGGAGTCGTATCGCAGTAGACTGTACATAGAGAGAGAGAGAAATATTATGGGAAATTTATTAGAGACTTGCGAGGCATTTTCAGTGCATCAGTGACAGGCACGGGACCTGGTTCTGATCGTGTGCCGATACACCTTGGTGCATTGACTATTGCCAAGACAAATTGACTAGGATCTTATTAAGGCTCCACGTAATATCGTGGCGGTGTATGATAATGACGTTTTTAGTGTCTACCAAAGAGCCGTAAAGTTTATCTTGAACGGGTGTACCTGTTGGACACGCCGACAGAGCTGTAACTCCTCTTTATTCGGTGTCGCGCTGCAGGACGTGGACGTACGAGCTATTTGCTTCTTCCTTTCGTCATTTTATGTCTGCCGGGAGTATAGGTAGTGGATGTACATAGATATACGCTTAGGCAATGTCAAAGATTCTCTGAATAATATATGTATATCAGATAGTTAGATGCGCCTCGTAAATTTTAAGTAGCGTCCGCCAAACTGTTGGAGCGCGCCTGGTGTCATTTCTGCGAACTAAAGTACTTCGTCAAACCGACGACGCACGGCGCTCTTTCACTCCGGATTCGTTTCACGCTCTAGAGATGAATTTTTCAGTGGATCGAATAAGGGAGACACGGTGTATTCGTTTATTGCTTTTATTTCTCATCTTTTCTCTTTTTTTTCGTATCTTCTTATTCTCGCCGCCACTTCGCCACAGGGCCTAGTCCCTTTGTCCGGCCATTGAAAATTAGAATATCGTGTATCCGGTCGGGTGTTAATAAGTCTCGGGGTTTAGTGGCTACACGACGGAAGAGGCCGACCTGCCACGAAGACTTTGCCAAGACTGCGTGCGAGCAGTAACCCGTATGGGAAACGAAATGGGAATGGGCCGGTTATATAGCCCTGTAATTTTCAAGTGACGTGTCCGTACCGATAGAGTGAGAAAGAGAACGAGAGCAGGACCGGTGAGTGCTGTGAATGAATATACATTAATTCGTCGTAAGTTTAACTAAAAACAAGCTGAACATATTTCTTCCTTTATTATCCGATTGTAAGTGGAATCTTCAAAACAAACGGTACTCCCAGACACAATGACTTCACGGATAGACACACGAGCGCCATCTTGGAAATTAGAATATTACAACTCGTAGTCAGCCGGGTGTTAATAAGGACCAGACTTTACAGCCCGGGGTTGTGCTAGGTCACGCTGTACCATACAATATATTTAACGTGGGAATGCTCATCTTCGCGTTGACTCTCCCTATACACTGTAGCTTCGCGTGCGTCACAGCATATTGGCTGCTACGACGCCGCATTATATTGCCGCGACTACGGCAATGGGAATTATTCCATTCGAACGCTCGTCTCCTTCCTTCCGCCCACGTGAAAATCGACTTATTCGCTTTATGCGCTGTTCCGGCTCTTGCGGCTGCACTTATTGTAAGTAAGAAATGCATTGATACCGATTGCCAGTTTCTTTGACCTTCCCACCTTCCCTCCTGTCACTATTCCCATCCCCTTAACACTCCTGCTCGTCTCCTCGTCTGTATCGGGCATACGTGTATTATATAGTAACTTGCTTTTATCTTTTTACACGAGGGGTGGGCAAACTTACCAGAGGGATTTTATTACACGATTAAAACCTCTTTACACGCTATCTTCATCCCGTTTCCTATATTTTTTTACCCGACTCAACATAACCTAACCCTTCTCGGTGTCTCCGTATCTCTTTATCTCACTCTTAAGATATCCTTTTCTCGTTTTAAAGTTTCAAATGGAGTCGACGATTTCCGTCTGCCTGAAATTACGTTGCTTGGTCTTCTCAGCGTTCCTCGGTGCCGCGAACTGGTTATTCGCAATAACCGTCACTTGGCCCAGGTCTATCTATATTTCCGGGATAATTCAGCTCCGCCATTTTAATACGTGGCATCGAATCAGAACCCATTATTACACCGTTCTCTTGGCTACAGGAAACACGGCGAATCCTCATGAGACCTATCCATACTTACCGTCTAAGATATACGGGGTAACTATTCACACAGGTGTGAAGTTGGCTACACTCTAGTATCGGGTATACCTTTAACATAACCTCACCTACTTCAGTGCATCTCCATCCAGTCGTACCCGGGGAATCATACCAAGGCTATAAACAACTACCAACTGTGGTCTGGGAACAATCCGTAAACTCATACGGTGCTGTTTTATTAACCAAAAGGGGAACGCGAGCCAATCGGCATACCAGGTCGAACTGCGACCTTTTGGTTTAGCACTGTCATTTGCTGGATACGCGTCTTCCTGGCATCCTGCGGTGGTTAACGTGTCAAAGGTCACGTCACGAGCTGCCTTGGATTACAAGGGAGGATCAAGTGAGACGTTACACGTCCCGTAAATTTTCTGCTCGCAAGACTGGGAAGTTAACCGCAATTCACGGGCAAGGAGTCGCGCATGCGCGCTCAACGAGCGGCACGTATGCGCGCGGGAAATTCAAATTACTTTATGCGACGCATCGAAATAATTTCTCAAGACGCGCTTTTACGATCGCTATACAGAGTATCTGTGGTATCATATACCTATGTCTTTTAACTTTCTACCCTTTTATCTACAGTTGCACCCACCCTAAGGAGCTTCCGTTACTAATCACTACCCACACCCGGTGCAGTGCTTCCTACCGATATATGTCCTTACCCTCGTATACGAGCCTTAACCAAGGCAATGCCGACCCCAGCCGTTACATACCTGACGTCCAGGACGGTTCCTTTGACTTGCTGATATTTAAAGGAGAATCTGGCGTGCCGAACCAACAGCAATGAGATTCCTTCCGCATGGCTCGCTGGATCCTGGGGAATTTTTTAATATAATTTCTCATACGGATTTTTATATTTCGTACGTGCATAACTGCGCGATAGTCCCACTGTCGGATGCATATGTGTATGCACTCGTGGTGGGTTCGATGCTCGACACTGTTACTCGTGGTACCCGTAGACCGGATAGGGTCTGTAGGTAGTCGATATCACGTCAATAAGAAGCTGCGGTAAAGAGAGTGTAGTATTTTTAACGGGTAGTCACTATATCTGTATACAGGTACCCATTTGCTTATACGTATATATATAGTCGCGTGTATAAAGTACCACTTGCTCTATAATATATACGATAATTTTAGCAGCGTCGCTCCGTTATCCTAATTACAGACAGCCCCTCTAAGATTTATAGATCGCGCTGTGATTCCGTTGTCGGTATTTATACGTATGCACGTGCATCGCATGTATGCATGTTTGCATACGGTGGATGCTGAGAGGAGCTCATCATCGTCGAAGATAATAGTTAAGTGGATTCACGCTACCAGCTGGATTTACGCGTACCTTCTTGCGCGTTATTAATTTTTTTTTTGAATTTTAGCTAAATTTGAATTTTTCATATTGGCTATATCGCAAATAGACATTCGTATGGAGATTCTTGGGAGACTGTACAGGGTTGAGGCGGGATGTATAGTGGGAATTGGAATACCGATGAGTATTTCTAGAGGGAAGTTCGAGCGACAGTAGGTTCAGCGTCCTGTTAGCCAGACAGTCAATAAATCATGCAAACGGTTACTATTCTCGAGTAAATCGATTTTCCACGATTTATTCGGTCCTTCGTCAATTTTCAGAATAAACCGTATCGCGGCGTATATTCCTCCCTTATTGGCAGAGGGGAGGGGTGATGGGGCGGGGGGGTTGTGAAATTTCGTGTATAAAAAAGTTCCTTACTTTTTTTTTGCAGAATGGAAACCTTTCAGGAAGCCGGGATACAGATGCTGAAAGAATTTCGCGCCCTTCTGCAACACTCCCCGCTTCCGCTTCAGGGTACCAGACTTCTTCAGCTACTGGCGCTCAATATGTTCGCCATAGACTCGACTCAGCTTAAGGGTGAGTGATATTTACATTTTATTTAATAAAAAACAGATACACCTCCGCGTCGGCCACGTGGTACTACGGAAATGAGATCGAGGGCAGGGTAGGGGGGGATGATGAAAAAAAAAAATTGATAAGAAAAAATGATAAAAAATTATCATCAAGACACTTGCGGATGCTGCACTCAAGATTCGATCTCACGCCTCTAGAGTTTTCTTATTTAAATGTTATCAGCGTACCTCCAGCGCACGGAGACTTCATTGTTTCGCAAGGTACCGCCTCCATGTAACGCACGCGTGCCTACCGAGGCATCTCGTTGCAGGTTTGCCAACCTACTGGCAAGCGTCGAGTTAACGGCCTCTCGTAAATCAAGGTAAACGAGTGCCGACCGATGCCAAAAGCCGTACGAATTCAATATCAAACGGGCCATTCCCCCCCGTAAGTGGTTAGCACAGAGCGGAATGAAACGTCCCTTTTTATTATACAGGGTGTCCCGTGGGATCTCCTATCGAGTCTGGAAGATTTTTTTGCTGCTCTTCCTAAATCCTTCCCTTGACCCCACCCCTGGACCGTTCACGTGTATAACCACGAATATCCTCCGATCCTCTCTTATCCTTTATCTCTTGTCTTTTCGGAGTCTGCTTCTTTTATTTTTTATTTTTCCCCTCCCTTCTCATACTCCTTATCCCGGTCTCCTTCGAGATTCTCCGCCTCGTTCCGGTGTTATTTATATATCCCAGGGGAATAGCGTCCTGGGTGGGGGAAGGAGCATGGGGAGTTAACGTGGGCGTAGCGCAGGGCGCATCATCGTGTCCAGGGTGCACCAAAATGTATGACCGTAAATTCTAACAGCGCTGTTTGCCTTTACGATGCAATTCGCGGAACCGCAAATCATTGCGTTTCGAAGAGAGATAGTTTGTACGAGGGGGGAGGGAGGTAAGGGGAGGGAAGGAGGAAAGAACGAAAAAGGCCAAGGAAATAAAATAGCAAGGGCGATGATGGCTTCTGAAAGTTTTAATGGGCAAAGGTGTGGTTATACTAATCGGCTTCCTCTTAAGTATCCGCTCGGCCGATGATGCACCGGGTAAAAGGATGGTGGCAGTTCGTTATGGAGATTATACGATTGCACAGCGGCAGCCTCGTTTGAGCTCGAGAACTCGTAAATATTCCTAGTAATCGTGAATTCGGGGGCCCTCGATAAATATTGTGGAGCTGGAAGAGCGTCTAGTGACTTTTCTAGGGAATTTTTTTTTACACGTGCAACATTGCTCTCACCGACCACTGGTTCTATGAACTTCGTATGCTTAGCGGGAGCAAGTGTATACATATATTGGTCGTAAAATTACGTAATCGATGAACGCGTACGGAAGGCGTCGCGACGCCAAAGCAGATTCTTATGCTGACTCCCGATCGCTTCTGGTGGCGTCCTGTTCATCCAGACTGCAGATATCTAGCAAGGCGCCGGGCTCCATTGATTTAGAATGGTGGCAACAGCGGCCAAGGACGACCGCGTCGACTTCAACCGATCTCGAGATTCTCGGCCTGTTACGATATTCGATATGTGATATTTCATTCGATTCGATAACACGTATTCGCACCGGTACCGCTATGTGTACATGTGTGTGTATATATATATATATATATATATATCGTCGATAGTACAAGCTCCCATTAATCGACATATAGCTAACTGCTCTGTCCCTCCCTGTTAACCAAGGCGCCCGCGAGCCCGATAATTTTTCAAGGTCAATCTGACGTATGGCACGCATTAAAAATCTCATCTCTTAATTAAACTCCCGTAGCGAAACACTCGGATCCCAAAATTATGATGAATCTCTACATGGGCCATAGGACGTATTGACAGGGTCCCGTGCTCGTCGACCTGGACCAGGTTCTCTTGTTTTGAGATACGTAGACGAATATCTACCACGGACCTAAATTGGATGCTGCGAATAATTCTGTGGCTGAATCCAAAGCGCCACGTGGTTACCGACCTCCGCCACTCTAATCAGGATCATCCGAGTCTCCCACTCTCGCTAACGAACCAGTCCCGGAGTAGTCCTGGCGCCGCAGCATCCTAGATCAGCAGCGGAAGGGGGCCCCCTGGACGTTTCCATTAGATTTTTACCCTCTAATTATCGCAAATGGTGATCGACGTCACATGGGGTTGTCCTGGCTACGGGAGAAGAGAGCAGCTCTCGAGGTCGGGTAATGCGGGAGCCTCGTAGGTGGGAGCGAGAGGTCCAGATGTCCTTCCGCGATCGGTATTTCATTCGGGAGCCTCCCGTTAATCAGGGACCCGATTCGTTACGTTCTAAGGAACTCTGCTTTACCGGCCGCAACCCTACCTCATCGGATTAGAACCAATCGGGGTCTGGTTCGTTATTGAAATGCTAATCGGTATACTGACTATTTATTCGTGTCACTGCCATTGATATTTACACTCATTGGACTTGTTGCTAAAAATTTTTTTCTTTTTTCAAGACAAATTTATTACCGACTCTGCTACCTTGTACGCTATGGCAACTCATTTATGTACTGTGGACCTTTCTTGTGTCTATATAATCCTCGGTGGTTTACTTGACTGCTGCGCTGTCTTTGATTCTAGACAGCCAATAGAGCACTCATAGGCGCAGGGGATCAGGGGCCAGGGGGGATATGCCTGGTACTAGGAACGGCTATGGGGTCAGGCCTCCGAGGTTAACACAGTGGGAGATGGTTAACTATGAAACGAGATGGGAATGACCGTGGAACGTATGTCTTATTATCGCAAATGGAGACCTAATATCCGGTACAGTTAGTCATAATTAGAGAAACCCAAAGGTGGGTCCAATCACGGTAACCAATCAGGTTCCTGGGACGATCGATGTTGAATTCAGAGAGATATTTATCGGGAATGTGTAAAATCTTGATTTTGATAAATAATCCTTAGGAAATTTTTGAATGTGGGATATGGATAGGATATGCTGGTGAATAAATTACGAATTTCTTTTTTCTACTTAAATCTATATCTTTTTAATCATAATTGGCACTTCTCTTTTTTTTTAACATTCTACAGATATTTCGCTTGTACCGGGAACTCAGGTTTCTCGTTAATTCCTTGACTCTTCTTTGTTCAGTCTGTCCTCTTATTACTGCAGTAAACTCAATTCTTGCTGGTTAAAGCCCGAAGGACGCCGGAGAACAAAGTTTTCGTAAGTCTCCGTTCTTGGGATAAAAAATTGTCTTATGGTCTCTTTATAAAACTATCACGAATACGGTATACTGAAAAAAAATGCAAATCCATACTCAATCGTGTTTGAATTTTAGGAATTTTTTTTTTTAGTCCTCATTCCTAATAATTGCACAAATTTTGTCCATATTTAAATTCCCACGCTACCAAGTGTCAATAACTTTGAAAACGCATGGGAATCTTTCTCCATTTTTTTTTCTTCTTTTCTCTTGCTCATCCGGATATTTAATGACCGACATCGAAGTCTAAACGAATCGTGTCCAAACATAACCTAAGTGACCATAAACAGTTACCAAACCTGTCCATTCATAGGCAGGACCAGTGTGACACGTCTGGATTAACATATTAACACGATTATACTCTTCCGAATCTCTACGATCCGCTACGACATGATTCACACCAGCCGCTTACGGTATTCGTGTGAAAAAAAAGCAGTAATACCAATCAATAACATTAAATCGATTCCGCGCACAAAATCCATCGATCAATCGTCACAAGCCGGTTGGGACAGTGGCGGGTCGAGTATTTCCAAAAGTTGTAATAGACTGCATTGAAAAATTCTTTGAGCTCCCAAAGTTCAAATATATTTATACAGATGTCCGTAGTGCGACCGGTAGTGAGATGCTGTATGGACCAGTGAGGCTCGAAGCAATATATACGCTGGGGCATCCGAGGCGGAGGCTGCACGGAAGGTCCATTGGATGCAAGGCGAGATGCAGATGATCCGTGATTATAGACATTAGGAACATTAGCCTTGGCGCTATGACTCCTTGCAACCTCAGGATTCAACACTGGCATTTCACGTCTCTCCGTTAGTCACGCGATTAGAAATCATCTCCGATCCTCTCCAGGATCCCTACGGCTGATATATATTCAGATAAGTGATTCGAGATGCGTTATTTACAAATTTATACGTAGCCAGTGATCCAGCGTCATTCCTGTCACCTTTCTTAATGGATCATGAAAATGCACGCAATACTCCACTCTCGTATACCTATATCATTAAGTAAGATTAATACCCTGCAATATGCCTATACGCGTCGTTCGGGTAATGGGTATATTTATAAAATTCAATTTTACCGCCCTTTCATTCTGAACGTCACTTCCGTCCAAAGCCGCCATCTTGGCTCGACCCAAAACGGATGCGCGTCGTCGCCCGCTACTCCGGAAGCCGATAGAAGTCCAGAATCAATTATTCAAAGTCCAGACCCCGCGTGAATGACCCGTCTGAAGTTGGCTGCACCGTCAAACGCGAGAATCGATATGCGGCAAAGTTCACGCCGTTATCGGCAAGCGCGCCAGAATTATCCCTTAATATCTTTTATTTTCCCTCTGTTCATTCGCTTGGCCCATCTTATTCCTCCACTTCGTCGTACGTGTCTAACTTCACTTCGAACCCCCCCACCCCCTCCCGTAGCGCACGTGACTATCTTCACGTCGTTACACCTACCCCAGCAGACGTCTACGGGTTCTGGCTACGCGTAACTTCAAAATCCACCAGATTCTTTAAAATGATTACGTACTTCTATAATAATAACAACAATTCCGTCTCCCTGAACAATGACTGTTCGTGACTGGGACTGACTCCTGGTGTACCACCGAATCGCCCTGGGCCGCTCTTCAGGTCCTTCAAAGACCTGAAGCCGTCACGAGGACCGTCCTGAGACGCGCGAGGGGACGCGCAATCGATATACTAATTGGGGAGGAAAAAATTGCCTAACGACTATATGTACATAGATAATAGATGGCATAGTCAGGCCGAGGTTCGGTACAGGAAACAGTG